GGGGACTGAACAGAAATTTGTAAAAGGGAGGGGGGATTTAAATGGAATTTTCCGTTGTTTTTTTCATTTATTGGTCAATTTTTGTGTCTCAACAATTTAATTATTTTATTTTGTACCAAAAAAAAATAAATTAATTATTTTATTTTTTTTTTATATATATATATTATATATCTGTCATTGGGTCCCGAATTGTCACCATTGTCCTTATGAAATGAATGATAAAAGGAGCATCTCACGTGGAGTCTGATGCAAAAACTCTGTCGACCAATAATAAAAGGAAAACAATAGCAAGAATCCCTTCTATAAATTCCAATATCATTCTAAAATAAAATAAAATAAAACTATATAGTAAAATGAGAATTTATAATTTGGTACATTTTGTAAAGTAGTATTCATCGGATGGACATAATTGGAGAGCCCAACAAAAGGAAGATATTTTCGGCCTCCTAGATTTGCAAAATATATATATATTTGTTTTTCTTTTGTAACTCAACGTTTATATATTATTCCGAGTTCACAAATTTTTGTGTGAGACAAACAGACTGAGTCATCAATCCGTCAATTCTGGGGAGAATTCGCAAAATTAATGCGTTCCCATCGAGAATTGAATAGAGTTCTCCCGTATTTTGACATTATATTTTTCTTTCGAGAAAAATGCAATATTGTTATTCTGTTATGAAATATTCATGTTTTGTATAGTATGACATTTCAAGTATATAAATGTGTATTTGTTAAAAAATATATGATTGTCTAGCAACAACATTATTGTTCCAAATTACATTTAACTTTATAGTAGTACAATTTATCTTAAGAAGACACCAAATATGACTAGGCATTATTCTTTGTTCCCAAAAAGGTGTTTCTTCTTTGATGCTATAAAATGAATTATTGTTATGTGCATCAAAGTTACTGCAGATAAAATTTGCCTAGCATAAAAATATGTCAACTTATATTTATATATTATGTTTTTAATGTGTGACAACACTATACAATGGAAATGTGGAATAGTAGGAATACCCTTAATTACTGACTACATATATACCGAAATATTCACATTTGGAATTACACACAACAGTACTTCAAAATCCGTCAAACAAGAAAGACAAAAGTATAAAATTTGGGGAAATGCTACAGTCTCGTTGCGGAACCATTTCGTTTCGAGATTTGTAACCGTTAGATCAATTATCTCCGACGGTT